CCTTGTACCTACTGGGCCTCACTTACTTACCTCTTGACCTTGCTTGTACTGTGATCACTATATATATATGCCTACTTGTTTACGTTTGCTAGGTTGTGATCACTGTATCTCTTGCTTTGTTATAAACCTGCATGTGAACTGGTCTTGTGACCGCTTGCTTGTGCTCGGAATTTGTGTGGAATCCTTGAGATCCACCCTGAGCTTGTTTTGCTTTGCTTTGACTGGTCTTGTGACCCTGTGGCTGTCTCCCACTGCGCCTATGGGGGTGTGTCAAACATTGCATGTTTATATTGTCTAGGCTGTAGTGGGTTATACCTTAGGGGGTACACAAAGTTAGGGTTTCCTACTTGTACCAAACTCTGTTCTAGTTCATTCATTCCTGCTCAGTTATTTCTGACATTAACAAACGCACGATAGCCGCATCGTCAAGGGTAACGACTGCTGATACAACCAAAGGATCAGTGGATAGGATAGAATGTGTTAAGCCTGAGCTGAGAATGTGGAGTCTCTGTAGTGACCTTGTTGAATAATAGTTGAAAGAGAACAAGATGATTGAAAGATAGAAGTACAAGGTATTTAATAGCTCTGTTACTGAGACCGCGGGCACACCAAGCAACCTAACTTCGTGTGAACATACCTGCGTTGATTCTGAGCTACGAACATCTACTGATCGCAGCGGGGGACGCTTCGTATACCCCAATTCATTTATTTAGTTCATCAGCAACATTCCAAGCAATGTCAATACAACAATGAACATATCGGTTGGTAAGATCATCAGCAACATTCCAAGCAATGTCAATACAACAATGAACATATCAGAAGTAGGGTTTTAATAAACTCATCCAAATTGTTTAGGAGTGTACATTGCGTGGCTGAATCCGAAGGCCAAACACTTTGACCATCTGTTTTTGATGCGTACATCCTGCTCAAACGCCACGCTGTCATGTACCTGGCCCAAAATGAATTTCGCCAACGTCCAATACCATTGGACGTCGTGACATGCGTACGTGATTGGCTCGGTTCGCCAGTTTCGCACGTGAGGCGACATGTCCCACCCAGGGTGACTGTACCTTGTCGACATTGAACAGGCTAGTGAATCCGCGTGCGAGCAGTCATAAGCAGGGTGATTGGTCGATTGGACGCATCCCAGATTATTGACAGTGGCGCGCAACCAATCGGAGGTGTACCTTTCGCCACTGGACCAACATTTATCCCCCTCAAAGCTTCTTGCTCGAATCACATGACTAGCACATAAGGGCGCAGCTGTCCTCAGTACCTTGTCAATCCTTCCCGTTGAGCAAACTCGGTTCCTGGATCTAGTTTCCATAACGTAGCACAGTACCCGGAATGGGGCGCAAGCGTAAGGGACAGTCCCTTAACGATTGCCCAAAGGACCTCAATGAAATACCTTACATCCGCTGGATCAACGACCAGATCGCAAAAAACCGACCATTGACGGGCATACGGCCGCCGCATGCAGGTGACGGGCAGGGTTCCAGTGCACCTTCTCCCAGCTCGGGTCCTTCGCGCGTGCGCAGGCAGCCTACCAGAACCGTCGCACCAGTACGTCCGTTTGCGGAGAAAGAAGTTGACGACGACGAGGATGACGAGTACGAAGGCGAGGCCGAAGGCACCGACGAAGAGGATGTCGAGCTTGATGATCTTGGCATGTCCCCTACCGACGATGACGGCGACGACGACGACGCACGCGGCGACGCGGCGGGGCATGCGCAACCCGTGATTGCCCCGCCGAAACGGAGCTCCGCACGCGGGGTTGGCGCAAGGAAAGGCAAAGGCAAGGCGGTTGCACCACCGCCTCGGCAGGAGGCCCGGAAGAAGCGGGCCGCTGCACCGGTCGAGAGGGGAGCGTGGACTGACAAGGAAAGCACTATTTTGGCCGCGGCTCGGTGGTATACCAAAGATAAGCTCGAGCCACTCAAGGGCAAGCAGGGAACGCAATACTGGGTCAGCCTGCTCGATCACATCACGGGGGCTAATCCGGGTTGGTGCAGGAACGTCAATGCTCTACAGAAGCAGTGGCGCAACTTGATGGTTGCGTGGGACGAGTACAAACAAATGGATCACGAGGGCCAGTCTTCCTACGAGAAACCGCCGTGGTGGCCATACATGGAGCTATACAACTTATCCACCGGAGAATCTGGTGCGCACGGAGATGACGGAGGCGGCGCCACGAACGCCAACAAGGTGGGCGGCATGGATGTACCAAGCTCCTCTCAGCCTGTCACGTCGACACCTACCTTCACAGGTGTGAGCCTTGTGGGTTTATGAGTGTGAGACCACAGCGAACATTTGGGTCAAACCATCATGCACATGCAATCTCGAACCTGCAATCTCATGGTGTTTCAATTCTACATCTCATAACATGCGTTTGGACTTGCAACATGACCCTGCAATCTCGTGTTGTTTCATTTGTACACCTCACACCATGCGTGCAACATTACGTCCCTGCCACAGCTCCGCCGCCGCAAACCACGGCTACACCTAGGCGCGCCCGGGTGCATGAGACGGCGACGATGCAAGCCGCCATGCTTGTCTGCGCGACCATCAAAGAATGTCATGTGGACGCACTCTCACGCATCGAGGGACTCGTCCGTGAGTGGATGGCGCAGGATTTGCGCATTGCCCGCGAGCGAATGGCGCTATCAGCGCCATCCCATGTGCACGTTGGAGGGAATAGCCCCATACAGCCTCCAACACGCGGGGAGTCTGCACCGCCTCCCGATCGTCGTGCGCCCACCACCGCTGGAGGCGTTGCCGGCGTGCTCCACGGCGAAGCCGCGGACATAGTGACGGAAACTCATGGGGATCAACCTGCCCAGTTATGGGTGCGCGATGACGACGACTAGAGTAAGATTCATGCATCGGATGGTCATGTCTTGCTCGGGTTCACTGTACTAACATTTGCCCTGTTTACGCACGTGTTGAGCAGGAACACTACATGCGTGGCTCAAGAGAGGATGTTGCATAACCACTCCGCACGTAGCGTTCACTGGTGGGGCGCCATCTACTTTGGGAGGTGCCGTTGCACCTCTTCCCAGCCATGCGAGTTTAGCTCTCTGTGTGGCTTCGTGTCACCCTTTGTTTTTAACCGTCCTTCACTTTTGAGGGCCAACTGGTGTGGTAGCATAGTTGTCGCGCGGGGCAAGCACTGGTTGTAGGCGGGAATCCGTATGCCATCTGACCTTACCTTAGCATGTTAGGAAACGGTCCTGCAACAACCTTGCCTATACCCAATTGCAAAACTGAATGGCACTGTGGGATTCAAGGTTTTGTGTGACCAGGGTATGCCGTTTTAACGTTGTGTGTTTTAAGGTCGTTCCATTTTGTTGCGCTAATGAACACAAACCAAACCAGTTCACGCAAGCAGACATACCGATCGATAGTGTGTTTCCGCACGTTTCGAGATCCGGCTCCGTTAGGCGTGCCAATACTTGTTAGCGCTGTGCTATTTATTTTGTTAATGAACGTAATGACACATCCGAACGCGCGTCTCAAGGTTCAATACAACTGATGCGAGGCTGCGACGTACACTTGGCACGTCCCCTCGAATGATTCGCGGTGTTATCCACGTGGACCGTGATATGTCGTGGAATTCGTCAGGCTAATATCCGATTCACGCTGTGCGTTAATTAACATACCGGTCGCCCTACCGCTCCGGTTGATGCTCCCACAAATAAACATCGCAGTATATTCGATTCTGGTCCCATGCGAACTATGGGTTTTATGAGCCTGCGGCATGCACTGGTTGTAGGCGGTAATGGGGCACGAATGACCTGGTTAGGTAGTATGAGCATGCATCATGTGCCCCTGGGCGTTGTTTGTGTTAAACAACATCTGGATCATTAACGAAAAAGCATCGGTGTTTTTTGCGTTTGATCAGGACGTTTGTGTTTGTAACTGTTAATTACGATCATGATCAACAACCAATCCGTTTTCCGATTACACAACTCGTACTGTCTCTGTTTTTTAGCGTTTCGCGTAAGTAATGCTCGATACGATGGGGTCCGAAACATATGAGAGCAAAGGAGATCATTGGGGTTGCAGGCCGTTGGTCTTATATTTTTTAGCATCGAAGGTTTGTTAGATGGTCTTCTCTACCAAATAACAAATTCTTACGTAGCACTATTACGTAATCCAACTTGTCAACCCTAAGACCCCTAAAGATGTGGGCTGGCTAGGTGCTGAACCACACATGCCAGCTACATTATAAATTTATGGCGGCCACTATTCTAATGTACGACTGTGCGGCTGCGTGCTCCAAGTCTAGTACGATCACCAAAGCTCAACCTACCGTGTGGTACACACCTCCCGCAGCCCTGTCGGATCCATACTTCTGGGTGCATGTCGCTGAGTTGTGGTTACGCCCCAAGCAGATGCGGCAGCGATAGTTCGCCGGCGGAGCATCCCTGCGCCTGTTGGACGGGGGACGGCCAGGACCCCTACGAGTGAATGTAGGTGCGTCACACACGCCCTGAGGCACAGGTGTTGTCTGTGCCATCAGGGTGTCGATGCAGGTACCGGGAATGGCGTGGGAGTATGTTACGCGGAGGTTGACTGTGGTGTAGTAGTCGCTGACATACTCCCACCCGTTTTTGTTCGCCATGGGGAAAAACGCCATGGCATGTGCGCATGGAAAAGCGTACTCTTTCCAAGTGCCGCACTCACAGCTACCCTCGCCACGTAGGTCGACGTTGTAGCTTCGGGGGGTGGTGTCCTCCGCGTTGCCGTTGTTTATCACCTCCGCAAGGAACTCGATGTGGGGGATTTTCACCTCGTAGTTTTTTGCCCGCTCGCACTTCGCCTCATATCGTTTTCTCCCCCACTCCGTTAAGTAGTCGTCCCGGGCTCTAGCCTCCTCACGCCGCTCGTGAAACTTTTTGACGTTGTAGTCCCACATTGAAGCTAACAGATACGCTGGTAGAAGGCAGCGGATGGATTTTACGGCCCCGTTGGTCGACTCCGCCATGTTGCTCGTGTAGATGCCGAATCTCCGCGTTGGGGCCGCACATCGAGCCCATTGCTTCTCGTACACCCAGATTCTGTTCCTGCGTGCAGCGTAATCACCGCGAAGGCCGGTTCGGACCCGGACGCCATCCTCACCGTCCTCCAGGGAGCCCTCTTCCACGACGGGCGCCTCGTCCTCTACCACGCTGGGAATAGCCTCGTTGGTGTTCCCAACCGCGGGTCCCGGGTCCACAGTTGTAGGAGGAGTGTCACGTGTTGCTGCCGCGGTCGGTGGTGGCTGGCGGGCGGGTGCAGCGGTCGGTGGTGGCTGGCGGGCGGGCGCCGCGGTCGGTGGTGGCTGGCGGGCGGGTGCCGCGGTCGGAGGTGGCTCTCGGGTTGGTGCCTCAGTTGGTGCGGTGACTCCCGGGACCGCAGCTCTCAGAACAATGTTGCCAAAGTTGAAGCACGCAGCTGTTCCTCGCCATCCGCTCGGCACCACGATCGGTGTAGAACGTCGCAGTGTAGGTGGCGCCGGCTGGGAAGAAGAAGGTGTGGTTGTTCCGGCAAGATGGGCTGCAACATGGACACGGGAAAGGCCGTTGTGGCTATGTGAGTTGCGGTACCAACTGCGCAGTACTTTATCAAGTTAAGACGCCAGAAAGTGTAGGAGCGCTCACACAAACTGTGGCGTGGGTACGGGTTGCATATAGTCGTCACGAGCACACATAACAACAGGAAGGGCGTATTGACAACACGTTATTCAAACGCACCTGTTGCATCAGATGGGTCGTACGGAGTGGTTGGTGACGGCGTTGTGGATGGTCCTTCAGTAGTGGCCGGGCGAGGGGTTGCGGTGGGCATCGGGTCTGCGGGTCCACATGGCGATGCGGAAGATGCTGGTGCAGCTGAAGGGTGGGTCGCAGAAGCGCGGGACGGTGCTGCGTATGGGGGTGGCGCTGCGGACGTCCCTGGTGCTGCCGATGGGCTTGCCGACTCGGATGATGCATGTGCCTCGGATGTGCGTGTCGCTGAAGCGGGCGACGGTGCTGTGGACGGAAGGGGCGCAGCTGAGGGCCCGGGCGCGGCAGATGGGCCTGGCGTGGCGGATGATGCATGTGCTGCGGCTGGGCGGGTCGCTGCAGCGGGCGACGGTGCTGTGGAAGGGCGGGGCGCTGCGGACGGCCCTGGCGTTGCAGACGGGCCTGGCGTGGCGGATGATGCATGTGCCGCGGTTGGGCGGGTCGCAGCAGCGGGCGACGGTGCTGTGGAAGGGCGGGGCGCTGCGGACGGCCCTGGCGTTGCAGACGGGCCTGGCGGATGATGCATGTGCAGCGGCGGGGCGGGTCGCAGCAGCGGGCGACGGTGCTGTGGACGGCCGGGACGCTCCGGACGGCCCCGCCGCCGCGGCATTCGGAGGTGGTCGTCCTGCGCCGCTCTGTCTCTGTCGGCGGCCGCTTCGCTGCGACAGTGCCTGGCGAGCACGACGCCGTGCTTCAGCCGCTTCGGCCGCAATGTTGTTGGCGGTCGCACGCGTCCGGCGTGTTTGCTGCACGTTGCGGCGGCGAATACGGAAACCAGCTGGTGGAGTGGGGTTTGGACCGACCGCGTCGGCCACAGGCGCCGGACCGTAGAGGTAAGTCGTGAGCAGGGGATGGGATTCCCGTGCACCGACCTTGAGCTCGTTGTCAAACATTATACATGTTGTATTTGTGTAGGCTGTAGTGGGTTAGCCTATAGGGGGGTCACAACATTAGGGTTTCATATTTGTACTCACAATCCTTGCTAGTTCATCATTCCAGTCCGTTCTCGTTGACATGGTTTCAGAGCAGGTCCTTCGTTAGGACCGTTTTTTTTTTTAAGGGCCCACCGTTCCCTACCTACCTACCTACCTACCTAGGGCGCCTCGACTTTTTTTTTTTAACGGCCCCTACATCCCGTGACCCGCGACCCGCCCCTTAAGGCCCCGTCGCGCCGCCCCTTAGCCGCTCGCGCGCGGTCGTTTTCATACGTGCGCCCCGCCTGCTGCCCGCGCGCGCCTTATTTCCCTCGCGCGCGGCCCGTCGCCTACTCGCGCACGCCCCGCAGCCGCCCGTCGCCTGCTCGTGCACGCCCCGCAGCCGCCCGTCGCCTGCTAGCGCACGCCCCGCAGCCGCTCGTAGCCTGCTCGCGCACGCCCCGCAGCCGCCCGTCGCCTGCTCGCGCACGCCCCGCAGGCCCGCAGCCCGCCGTCGCAGCGGCCGCCCGCCCGCAGCCGCCCGTCGCCTGCTCGCGCACGCCCCGCAGCCGCCCGTCGCCTGCTCGCGCACGCCCCGCTGCCCGCAGCCGCTCGTACGCCGCTGCTTCCGCTGCTGCTTGCGCACCGCTGCCTCCCGAGCGCCGCCGCTGCCTGTGCGCCGCCGCTGCCCGTGCGCCGTCGCTGCCCCTACGCTGCCGCTGCCCGTGCGCTGCCGCTGCCCGTGCGCCGCTGCCGCCCGTGCGCTTCTGCAGCCGCCGCCCGCGAGGCACTCGCTCTCACTGTTGTTTATTTTCTACCTACCGCGCACACTGCTGCCACTGCAGCTGCCACCAGTGCGCCGTTGCAGCTCCTGCTGCCACGCTACCTACTACTGCCGCTCGTGTGCCACTACGGACAGTCGACCCCGCCCGCGCCTTGCCTAGCGGCCCCGCCGGCCCCGTTGACCCTCCGCACACCTTTCCAGCGGCCTGATTCCTACTACTACTGTTACTACTGCCACTACTACTACTGCTACTGTCACTATGGCTAGTCCTCCCGTTCTAGCTTTCGATGCCGAGGGCCGTCCAGTGAAGTTTGAAACCTGGCTAGATGACCTGCACCTGTTCCTACAGCTCACTGCCAAGGAAGATATCTCACTGTACGACCACGCCCTAGGCCATGCCACTGCCCCTGACTCGTCTGCTGACAGCACTCTGCGTTCCTAGTGGCAGACCCGTGATGCGCACGCTCGCTTTGCTATTCGCAACTCCCTGCCGCTAGACGAGCGCGAGCACTTCGGCCAGTGCAAGACTGCTAAGGACCTCTACACCGCTGTAGTTGCCCGCTACTCCTCACCCGCTTCTGCCACGCTAGGCCGCCTCACTCTCCCCTACCTGTTCCCCGACCTAGCCTCCTTTCACACTGTCGCAGACCTCATCACCCACCTTAAGACTAGTGAGGCCCGCTTTCGCGCTGCTATGCCTGCCGAGTTTCTCACTAGCAACCCCCCCCCGCTCTGGATCACTCTCTACCACATCGTCACCCGCCTCCCTGACTCTCTGCGCGCAGTCAGGGACCACTTCCTCTCTCGCTCCCCCACTGAGCTCACTGTTGCCCTCCTCGAGAAGGAACTGCTTGCAGCTGAGGCGAGCATCGTCGCTGTAGGCACCTCTCGTGGCGACCCCCGCACCCCGTTCTTTGAGGGGTGTTCCCCTTCCCCCCTCCTCCCCTCTGTCGCCTCTGCTGCTGCTAACGACCTTCTTGGTGCTGAGAAGGTCGGGACCGCGTCTGCTTCGAGCGGGCGCCGCAGGAACAAGGGGGGCAGGGGTGGGGGTGGCGGCGGAGGAGGTGGGGGTGGAGGCGGTGGGAGTGGAGGCGCGGCTGGGGAGACTAGTGGCGGCAGTGGGGGAGGAGACAGCAGCGGTGGGAGTGGTGGCGGAGGCGGCAGCGGAGGCGGAGGTGGTCGTGGCGGCGGCAGGGGTGGAGGTGGCCGGGGCGGCGGTGGTAGGGGTGGTGGTCGTGGAGGCACTGGCGGAGGGCAGAGTCAGCAGCCCGCCCCGACGCTTCAGGCCGCCCGTGAGTGGTATGCGCAGCGTGGCTTTACCTGCACGTACGTCATTCGCACAGGTGACCGCAGCGGCCAGCAGTGTGGGAGGCCGCACCCCACGCAGCGCTGCTTCGCGCGCCTTACCGACGCGTGGCGCACTCAGTTTCCTGCTGCCACTGAGCTGCCGCGCTGGGCTGATCTGGAAAAGAGGGGTGTTGATATTTGGGCTTTAGACTTTGATGCTATTCTCACTGCCATGTATGCCATGTCTATTAGTGGAGAGGGTGCTCAGTACTTGCGTGTTCCGCCCGACCCGGGCATTCAGGCCAGTCCGGCTGCCGCTCTAGGTGCTAGTGCGTCTGCTCCCACAGGTCCTGGTGAGGCTGCAGCCCTAGGTGCTAGTGCGTCCGTGCCCCCTGGTACTGAGTCGACTGCAGCACTGCACACCTTCACCCTGGACTCAGGTGCTTCTCGCTCCTTCTTTCGTGACCGCACTGTCCTTGAGCCACTCGCTCGGCCAGTTGCTGTCTCCCTTGCTGACCCCTCAGGGGGTCCGGTCATTGCGACCTCCTCCACTGTCCTTCCTTGTCCGGCGGTCCCGTCCGGCACGCTGTCAGGTCTCTACCTCCCCTCGTTCTCTACGAACTTGGTGGCAGGTAGTGCGCTCCAGGACGGGGGTGTTCACCAGTTCACCCCCGCCTACGAGCGCGTGACACACTGCACGTGTGCTCGGACGGGTCGCCACCTGGCTACCTTCACTCGGGAGCCGGGGTCGGACCTTTACACACTGACCACTGAGTCCCCTCAGGTAGCTGCGTCCGCGTCTGCGTCTGCGTCAGGTCAGCTGTCCGCCCCCTGCTCGTGTCGCTCTCTGGCGCATGAGACTGTCCTTTGGCACCACCGCCTTGGTCACCCGTCTGTGCAGCGCCTTCGGGCCATGCACAAACGGGACCTTGTTGCTGGTCTTCCCAGGGTACTCCCTCCCCTTCCAGACTCGCCTGCTCCTCCCTGTATTCCCTGTGTCGAGGGGCGGCAGCGCGCCGCTCCTCACTCCTCCTCCTTTCCCCCGACGACTGCTCCCTTGCAGACGCTCCACTTGGACGTGTGGGGCCCAGCCCGCGTCCATGGTCAGGGTCAGGAGAGGTACTTCCTGATTGTTGTTGACGACTTCTCGCGCTTCACCACGGTCTTCCCCTTGCGCGCCAAGGGTGACGTCCCTGATGTCTTGATCCCTTGGATCCGCAGATCTCGTCTCCAGCTCAGTGAGCGTTTCCGCTCCGACTTCCCTGTCCTGCGTCTGCACTCTGACAGAGGTGGGGAGTTTTCCTCTGGCCTCTTGGAGGCCTTCTGTCAGCAGGAGGGCATTGAGCAGTCGTACACGCTTCCGGCCTCTCCACAGCAGAATGGGGTTGCTGAGCGCTGCATTGGCTTGGTCATGGAGGTCGCTCGTACCTCCTTGGTTCATGCGGCTGCCCCCCATTTTCTGTGGCCGTTTGCAGTCCGATACGCTGCGCATCAGCTCAACCTCTGGCCCCGAGTCTCCCTCCCGGAGACTTCTCCGACCCTGCGTTGGACGGGAGAGGCTGGCGATGCGTCGCGTTTTCGGGTCTGGGGATCCCGAGCTTTTGTTCGCGACACGTCCGCGGACAAGCTCTCTCGTCGCGCTGTCCCCTGTGTCTTCCTTGGCTTTGTCCCGGACGCCCCTGGTTGGCAGTTCTACCACGCCACCTCGCGTCGTGTCCTGGCCTCTCAGGACGTCACTTTTGACGAGTCCGTCCCCTACTACCGCCTCTTCCCCTACCGCACTGCCCCGCTCCCCCCCCCCGCCTCTCTTCCTCGCTCCAGGTGCTGAGGTACCAGACCCCCTCCCCCCTCAGGGTGCCGCTCCCTCAGGTGTGTCCCAGGTAGACCCGGGTGAGCCTGTCGAGGTAGCTGTTGACTCTCGTCCTGCTAGGGGTGCTGAGCCTGGGGGTGCTGCGTCTGGGGGTGCTGAGCCTGGGAGTGCTGAGTCTGGGGGTGCGGAGCCTGGAGGTGCGGAGCCTGGAGGTGCGGAGCCTGGGGGTGCTGAGTCTGGGGGTGCTGAGTCCGGGGGTGCTGAGCCTGAGCGTGCTACACCTGGAGGAGCCCTCTCCTCCCAGCAGCTGCAGGAGAGGTACCTCGAGTACTGCCGCCTCCGGCGAGGTGCTCCTGGAGCTCGTCCCGGTACTTCCCCTCCTACCCGGGAGCTCCCCCCCATTCAGCAGATCCGCGAGTGGTACACACGGCGCTGCAGTCTTCGGAGTGGTGCTCCTGGTGCTGCGGACCCTGGGGGTGGCGCTGCTGCTGGTACTGAGGACCCGGACGTTGGAGCTGCTGCTGGTGCTGAGGACTCGGACGTTGGAGCTGCTGCTGGAGCTGAGGACCCGGGCGGTGGCGCTGCTGCTGGTGCTGAGGACCCGGACGTTGGAGCTTCTACTGGTGCTGAGGACCCGGGCGGTGGAGCTGCTGCTGGTGCTGAGGACTCGGACGGTGGAGCTGCTGCTGGAGCTGAGGACCCGAGCGGTGGCGCTGCTGCTGCTGC